GGCGGCAAAATTTAGGGGGCGGCTTTTGAAATCTTTTTGAATGTAAGTATCAAAAAATGAGAGAAAACAATCGGATTCAGAAAATAAATTACAAACGAGAAAAGGCGAGAAAATCTCTCATATCCTGAGAGTAAAAAGAATGGTAATTTCTAATTTTGTCGTCTTTCGGTGATCAAGAGACAACGCCTTTAATTTGTCGAGTTAAGAGAGAAACCAAACACGCAATTTGACCTGGAACGGCGCGGCGGTCGGCATAAAACACATAGCGCCTACAAGACTGCATGAATACTTCACGCATTGCGTCAAACACACTGCGGTCAGCAGCAGTCGGCTTGAAACGCATAGCGCCTAAAAGACTACACGAATACTTCACGCATTGCGCCAAACAGTGTTGTCAGCAGCGGTCGGCGTGAAACGCATAGCGCCTACAAGACTGCCTGAATACCTCACGCATTGCGCCAACACAGTGCGGTCGGGCAGCGGCAGAAGTTAAAATTATTAACACGTTTATGTTTGATCTTTCATAATTTTTTCGTTCATTTTTTATAAATGGAAGGCCTTGTCCAAACAGGGATGGATTTACGGAACTGAAAATTTGTTAGTGTTGACAGGGCTTTTACAAAAAATGTGCCCAACACGAGTAAACGCGTCTTAAACACCGCTCCTCCACCGGCACGTTCACTTTATGGTTTTCATAGATCGTATCCGACAGATCACACAGGTGAGATTATATTGATATCGATTGGTTCAATATGTCAAAAAGAAAGAAGAAGAAGAAGTCAATTTAGAAATCTGAGGTAACGGGTCTTATGTGATCGAATTTTTATTCTCTCGAGTACCAAATGGCAATGAAAAGTGAAATTGTTAGGAATTTTCTCATTTTCAGCGTTTCCAAATTAAATCCTAAAAATTTTGTTCCAGGTTACGTCCTATTGTTTTGAACCAAACGATACATCGAACCACTGTCGAATACGATCTATTGATGTTTCAAAACAAATGAGAAGGGGACGTAAAAATACAGGCGGCCCATGGGCGGCATGTAGGTAAATCCGGCTCTGATTAAAAGTGGCAACGGTAGACCCGATGCGAGATTAGATGCGAATCAAAGGTGTGACAAATTGACCAATAAGGGGCCAGCATGCAAACTGCAAATGTGTAACTCGTAACTTCGTAGGGAGCACCTTATTTACCGCTCCTTCAGGATCTCCTAGCATTCCTGATCGACTGTCCCTCTATTCTCCATCTATAAGTCCTGGTTCCGCGAGATACTTATCGATGTTAGTTGTAAATCCGACTGCCTCTTTCCTCCTCCTCACCTCAGCTCAAGAGAACCCTTTTACTTTCCTTTAAGCGGACGGTCTAAAAATAAATCCAACTGAAGTATGTGATTTCGGCGTTGAAAAGATATAAAAACTTAAATAGATCCTATTTGCATATTGTCCAGACGAAGTCACCAGATTGCAAACTCGATCCATACTTTTCGTCTCATCAGGGGTTCAAATACTAAAGCCATACTTTTAACCAATATTATGCTAACACGACCCTGCGTACTGGACGCAGAATATCTTCTTCGTCATAAAATCTCTTTCTTCCCTCATAAACCGCATGCAACGAAGGGCTGGAGGGAAATGAAAGAATCTTGATGAGAGTATGATTTAACCAAACCATGCAGGAATTGAACCGTGTGTAGCACTATAGCTTAAGACTGCAGCAGTCTTGCAAAGCGGGTTTGCCAAACATTATCTGCTTTCCACAATTAAATGTTTTCCAATCAAATTTTAATATTATTTTTAGGAGCTATTGGTCTCACATAGTAATTACTATTTTTGCCTATGCACGCACCTGCGTGAGGGAAAAACAATGTTTTCATTTGGGACGTACCATCTCTTCAGTATCCTTTTGCTACTTATAATACAGTTTAAAAAAATCCTCTGAAATTTCTCTAGAAAATATATCGTTAAAACTGTTAAAATGTTGACTTAAAGAGGTTTCAGCAATGTTTCCAAAACACACACATGTGTTTTGACATTCTATTCCGCGAAGCTCATGTCTAACCTATCTAGCGGCTGGATTTTTTTTTCTACTCAATAGTTTTTAAAAACATCAAAATCGTAGAGTTTAAGTGCATGGAACTGCGGTTGAAATATGCGATGAAAACAACTTTGAAATGTTAGATGAAAACAACTTTGAAATGTTATCAAAGGGGGTTATGTATACACGTGGAAACTTTAAGAGGTTTTCATAAGGTGTTTAAACATTTTGAACAGTTTTGAAAGTATCATAAATGTGTCAATGAATCATGTTATGGACCAGACAGAATGTCACACACATAGGACTTTCAAAAACGTACCCAAAACAAGATGTCCTTTGAGGATATCGCCATCCTGTAAAGAGGAGTTGCAGTCCAACCTCAAAATGTCCGAAGTGGAAGTAATCTTAATTTTCAATTTCGTCCATTTGAATCATGCAAATTGTGGCAAAATGGAGCCACGTCTCTGCCACTATATAATATGTATGAGGACCACAACCAATAACCATCACGACCCCCTGCTGTCTGATGACGTATGCTAATCTTGACCTTCACTTTCCCTTTATCCTGTCATCTCCCTTCCCCCGGGAGATTCGGTCAGTGTCCGATCTGCACTTTTCTGCTTCTCTTTTAAGTACATCTCTGACATCCTGAATCCCTTGTAACTTAGATTCTGTTGGGTCTGACCGCCTCGCACAGAAAATAAAATAAAGCAATTCTTTCATTCCCTACTTTCAAGAATCCTCTTCTGGCCGAGGGGGTCAAGAAGACAGCACGTTCAGACTCACCACCAGCCTCGGTCCCTGATTGGTGGATGGGAAAAACTCTGGCTGATATAGCCTATTGTATGTTAATCTGAACACAGTGTTGTCAAGCTGATTTGTGCAATTTAGGATACCTTGTAACGGTGCGCGGTGTTGGAGAAGATTAATGATTTATCTGCACTACCCAGCAACTTTACTAAGAAACCCCATGGTTAAGAGGATGGCCACTTATGGTCGGCCGAGTTTCCTTGCAGTCTAGCGGTGGTGTATCAAAGGGAAAGAAAAAGAAAATCGGTGGGAGGCAGACGCATGAGGTGATCGCACCGAGAGAGGACGAGGGGAATAAAAATAAGAAAACATCCCAGTAACATGTCAGAAAAACGTAACTCCAGGTAAAAAGATTTAAAGCAAAATATTTTATCGGCAGAAATTTCATAAATAGTGAGCTTAATTTGCAGTGTTGACAGCTTTCGCAAAGATCACGGGAATAGTGGGTTTTTTGTGAGATTTTGATGAAATTGGAAGTTCAGTTCACAGTTGCTCTGCGAAAAGAACTCAAATTATTTTTTTCTGCATTTCGGACGAAAGATTGTCAAATATTTGTCATAACACCCGGCCCAAGACTCATGGTTTTTCGAAAGTCCTCGGACGGAACTATAAGGGAGAGCCGGAGGGGGCCGCCTGCCCTCTCCCCATCCCGAAATCTGCTCGGCCCCCTCTAAAAAAAATTGATGCATTTTACAACATAAGAGCACACATCTTTCATCTCTGATATTGTATTGTCCCCTTTTTGGTGAGAGGAAAGTCAACTTTTTTTCTGAAACGACTCGAAATTTTTTCGAAATTTTCCCGGTAGGCCCCACCTTGGAGCCACGGAAGTCCTGCCGAACCCCTCCTTCGTAGCGAAGAGTCCCCCAGGTCCCCTTTGCTGGGGAGTCTTTCTGAGGTGGCCCCTCGACAAAAAGTTCCCGGTTCCGCGCTTAACTACCAATACAACCGTTAGGATACGGCCCTAAAGATCCAGTACGCTCTGGATGAAGCTAGAGTGCCTTTATAGGGAGAGTATGGACAGCTCGAAAATTTGGATGGTAGGTTTGATCAGGTCACGTAGCTCCTGGGGTCCAAAAGGGGTCAATCATCCAGTGGTAAAAATGTTTACATTTCGACTATTTACTCTGATCAAAAATTATAAAAGCACGTATAAAACTTTGATTTCGCTTACATTTTCTCAGTTTCAAAATGCGCTGTCGGCCTTATTGCGTAACCCTCCAAATGAATAGGTTGGCAGCGGCACTTTTCTAGTGATTTTCGTTTTTCACGTTGTCGCCCTTTTGGGCCGTAAGAGCTATATAAATCGAGTCGTCCATTCTCTCCCTATAATGATACTCTAGATGAAGCGCCATCCGGCAGCAGCGGCCTGTCCGCAGCGTGCGCGTTGCAGTGCTCTTGTCAAGTGCATGAGGCGTGGCGTGGACGTCTGGGCAGTGCGCGTCGCGACACAAAAGGCAAGCGCGTTACGGCGTCGCGTATGCAATCCGCGGCGCATCGCGACGCTCCGCGCCGCGACGTCGCGCGCGAAACTCAGTCAAGGTCGCGCGTCGAGAATTCATTCACCCGCAGCGTGGATGGGGAGGAGCCTCGGCGCCCCTCTACCGCCCTCTCCCCTCCCCCTCCGCCAGCGCGCTCACGGATTGGGGTTCGGGGAGGAACGCCACGCTCATGTCCTCCGAGCACGCAATCCTTGTCCTCCAGGGCGGGTTCGTGGGATGAGTCGGGCTACACTACTAATAACCCCCGGGGTGAGGATCTTGTTCCAGGCTCTGAGATTTTCTGACGGATCGAAATGATGGGACCAGGAATATATTTCATTGTTATTGTCGTCAATTTTGTAGTTTTTTTACTCGTTCTGATTTTATTGTCGAATAATGTTTGGCCGTCATGGTGGGAAATGCTCTATACTGTCGTGCTAAGGAAAAACGTCGCATGAACATCCAAGAGTTGCCAAATTCCCCCGAATAAAACATGTTTATTTGAGAAAAGTTATGCGCATTTTTCCTTAAAATTTTCCGATATTTTAGATTAAATCGGGAACAAATCTGTCTGAAAAATTGGAGGAAAAATATTCATAAGTTTAACAGGAAATTCGTATTTAGATTTTGCAATTATAATGAGATTATTTCATTTTTTTAATCGTTTGTTGATTACAGGTGACACACGTATGGAATAACAGGACAGAGGAAACGCCACCTACCGAAGGACGACCAGAGGGTTGCCTCTATTCTGGCAAAGTGAAAGGCGACGCTGCGTCCAAAGTTGCTGTCAGCCTTTGCAACGGCATGGTGAGTACCCATTATACCCATACCCATAAGTAATATTTCGACCGTGGAACTCCCAAACCACGTAAAATCTCGTTTCGGTGTTTTAAAATCTCTGCTCCCAATTTATCTTTTTGAATTGAGGAATACAAATCTACATCATTTCGTGAAGTTTTTACGGAATTTCCCTCGCTCCAAGATGAACAATCACAGGAGTCTTGGAGAATTTACATCGAATATCTTTCCATTTAAAAAATAATTATAGGAAGACTGCAACGTCGCAAATCGAGATACGTGGTTTTGGAGTTTGGCTGTCGATTTATCATTCGACGCGAACAGTCATAGATTTCGCATTGCATTCCAACTACAGCATGTGCAGAGTGTCATGACAAGAGCGGTCCGCCTTCGAAAACTCGATAGGCAATTTGAGCTACTTGGGAGCAGTTATAGTTGCTCGTAGCAGTTTGGGCATGTTCATTTGATTTCCATCGTAGTTGCACATTTATAATTTCAACTTGGAGCGTCTCGCGTTGTGACTAGGCCACTTACAAACTCTTATCAGCGAGCCGATTATTGAAATTTATGGACAAAGCTATAGACAAAGAAGACATAAGGAGTATGCGATCCTATTGGTTGAAATGGGTAGCTCTTATAGACTAAGGGGGCAAATGATGGACTAACTATCGGGTCTCTCGTGGGTTGCTGTTAATTAGTGTATAACCTACTTCCACTTGTCCATTGCAACCACCCGCTTCCGCACCAAAAGGATCCCACCACATCCTTTTTGTATTCTTTATCTATTGTTTTGTACATCAATTTCCATAATCAGCTCGCAGAGAACATGAGTAGCTCGGGAACAAATCGAGTAACTCTCCATGGAGAAAGGTTACATTCGTCGGAATATAATTATTTCTTTTATTCTTGATCTGTTTGAAAGACCTATTGTTAAACTCATATAAACGTATTTTCACCCTCTTTTTATCAATTGGTATTTCGCCGAAAATTTCGGCATGAGGGTTGCAACATGTGATCATTGCAGCGCTGAAATTTAAAAACTGTCCGATCATCTGGCTACAAGGGTGCTAGACGCCATGCCTATTTCATAAGAAATGATGTTTTTATTGGGACATTGATAATTACATTGATTTACAATACGCTCCATTTTCCCCCTTTTTTTCCGGAAAAATCGAATTCAAGTGGAAACTTAGCCAGAGATTGCATGTGTGACGCACCTGTCTTTTTATAGCGCTCGCATCATCGTTATTATTTTTATTTGATGCACACGCATAATAAATAGACGCTAGTAACGTGTATGTATGTACCTATTATTTGTGTTTACACATACAGTAATCAATTTACTGACGTTAATCGATTTTTTTTCTTACGGGAATAATCCTACCGCACATACACTGTTTTTTCCCATTGCTTTGGCACAGGTATGGTAATGATGGGCCGCTACTGCCCGGGTCGGGAAAAGAGGGGGGAGGGGGGGGGGAGCACGATGATACTCAGCAACGCGAAGCTACTCGTGGCGGAAGCGCTCCGCGTTATGAGCCTCGATTTCTACGCCCCTGAATCACCGGACGAGGTGGCCGAGTGGTTAAGGCGTTGGACTGCTAATCCAATGTGCTCTGCACGCGTGGGTTCGAATCCCATCCTCGTCGCTTAATTTTTACACCCCGTTTTACGCATTTTAAATTTCTCTCGTGAATTCCCCGTGTAGTTTCTGTTCATTGCGATGGTTTACACGTTAAATTAACGTTCAAATGAAATAGGAAATTTTCCCAAAAATAAAAAAAATCTTTTCATGTTTACGACACAGCGCTTCCAATATTATCATTAAAAAAAGTTTGAGATTCGTGTTAATCTTTTTTCTTGGATCTTATAAATCGTTCTTATTTTCGACGTAGATAATAATAAGTAAAATAATAGATGCATACCTGTTTAAAATAAATGATAAACATGCTGAAAAAATAGATGTTAACAAGAAAAACAAATTGAATGAGTTCAAGTTGTTTCAAACAAATACAAAATGTTTATCCTCTAGAGGAAAGTAAAAAAAAAAAAAAAATAATTTTTAAATAATGGATAAAGGTTCAGCGAACTCTAATAATATTCATAATTATTTTATGCATACAAAATTAATTAATTAGTATAATATACATAGAAAAATTCTAGATAATGGGATTCTTCTTTCATTTTTGTCTCTTAGTTTAACTTTGGAAGATGATCCATAACATTTCATATTTAAGCTGCCTCTCATCGTTAATAGCCCTCTTTGATAACGATGCCTCAATAATTTTACGGGCTCTAAATATATGAAAACTAAATAAGTAATTAGTAGTAGTGGCAGTAGTATATGTAAAACTTATAATGGGTGATTCCAACTAAGTAGTTCAATAAGTTCCTTTTCGACTTAGACAGATAAAAAAAATCTTATTTTAGGACACGGTATTGTCTTATCTAGGTCATATTCTTTTTCTTTAATGTCATTCTTTATATCATGACTTTATGCCGTACAGTAATCAAAGTAACAGGTTATTGTTGAAGCTACTTTTTCTTCAATCATAAATAATCGTTGATATTAAATATTGCGGTGAACCGCTCATCTACAAAGAAATTTCCATTTTAATGTACCGATTGGTTTAATCAATTATATTTTTTAGTGTAAGTCATAAAAAAAACTTTTTTTATCTTGAATTTTAATCTTCGCTGAACAATGTAGCCTCTTGTTATCTGCATGGCCGTAATGTCTCGTCGCACAGTGGCTGGTTCCAATCGAGTGTACTCTAATAAAAAGTCTCTTATTTTGATCAATCAGCCAATGTACAAAATCCTGTACAAATAATTCCGTTTGATTTAAATAAGTTCTGTTCAGCATAAATACATGCTTTCATCAAAAAAGCACATTTGGCAAAGCGCATTTTACTCAGATATACGTATACTGCGTAAATGGCGTCCACCAGTCCTGGCCAATGCCTAAATTGATCTTAAAATGAGGGTGAACACAGAATAGAATATTATGGTAAATCGAACTATGTGAAAATGATTAGTTCCTTAGAGCACTCCTTTTAATTGAATTAATTCCTTTCCACTCAGCTCCTTTTGCCATAAAAACGTTCAAAAGCAGTGCAAGTCATCGAGCATGGGTTTTTAATCCACATGATTCCCGAACTCGACCCACCGCTGTTTGCCCGCTGGACGCAATAAAGAGGGCCGTAAAATGTTTTCGCTTGTTTTACCGTATATCCCAAATTTAAATCCTTTCGTTTGATGGGTGTCCGTCGTAATCTTTCGGGTCTCCCGCGGGCAATGAAAGGAACATTTCCGTTTCATATTGGGAGGTTCGATAGCAAAACGAATTTCCTTATTAACGTGGCTGCCCGCTGCACATATCAGTCAGAATTGGATGCATGAAATGGACCTGTTAAGGAAAAGGATGAAACATAGTGAGCGCTCAAGTAAATACCAATCCATCCGTTCTGTACCGCAAGATTTCAATTGAAATAAAGAACCAAAACGAACGGGGAAAAAACACGCACACTTACACACATATTTAATTCACGAATCATCACTCCTCTAACGTAAGGGCGTACCTATCTAGATTTTTGCATGAGCTCCAATGAGCATTAATTCATATGTGAAACAGGGCTCCTAAGGACATTGAGGTACGCCCGTAAGTCTAAGGAGCAACGAAATGTGAGCTCAATCGTGACATCATTTGCGCAGTAATAAAATAAGTCTAATTGTAAGTTTACTATAATTTACCGTCAACTCTTGACAAAAAGGAGAGTAAGATGAAGTGGACCGCGTTAAGCAAAAATGAACCAAGACATATCAGCTATTGCCAAAAACGGAGCAATTTGATTTTTTATAAGAGATCGTTTGTCCGGATTCCCATGAAAATGTTTTTTCATCGTACTTCGCAGAAAATTCACTGAAATTTGCACAAAATTCCTTACAACCGTTTTCATGTAACAAATTAAATTGCCCAATTAAATTTGGCAATAGCTGATTAGGCTTAGTTCCTCTCTGCTTAACGCGGTCCAAGCACATTCGCTTATACTGCAATGAAACCTTTGCGCACGAAAATTTGATTTTTTCAGGGCTTTTTCTAGTTTGACAAGACGTCACTCGCTGAAATTATAGGTCTCGTTTAAAAAGCCTGGATGACAAACTTCGCCCCCCCCCCCAATTACAAAGTGGCTTACGTGATACTTGAGCGACCCATACCGGATTGAACTGTGTTCTCTTTCTGAAAGTATGACTGTGCAGTGGTCTAGATATCGGCGTCTGTGTAGAGAATGGGAAGGAAATTATTGCTTGAAACGGGCTCCAGTGAGTTGTAAAAAGCTATGATCACTGCTAACAAGCTTCCAGTTTGGAAATGCGTCCGTATTTTCGGTTCTCGCTATTCAGATATAAACTGTTAGAAGGGATCGGAAATAGCTCGAGAATCAAAGCAAGTTCTCGGAAACGATGAACCTTGTTGCAGTGCCACATGCACCATGCAAGCGTGTGCATTATTTTATGCTCCGATGAGGAAGGAGCTTTTCTGGTGTTTATATTCTTTTGCAGTGGCGAGACGTGAATGATCGATTATCGATATTTCACCATTGGAAGTTATGGTAAAGAATCGATTATTAAGGTGTTCGTTGCGAACACCCTGTTTATCGATCCTTTTCCATAGGTTTAAATGGCGGATCAATCGATATATCGCAAAGCACGCCACACCACTGCTTTGAGCGCACATATGGCGCTACACGCCGCCCGTTATTAGGGCCATTACTGTCATGTATCTCCATGGGCCACTGTACAAGGTCTGAGCTTGAAAACAATCACATGTTTTCCCTCCAAAATTTTACGTGAAAAACTATTTTGCCATACCAAGGAAAAACGCCGTATGAGCCTTCAGGCGTTACTATGTCGCCTTCGGTAAACAACGAATTTACTGAAAAACTTGTAAATATTTTTCTTCAAATTTGTTAGATAGTTTTTCTCGCAATTTAGTCTAAAATGTCTGA